ACATCAATTGCTCAGTTTGAAATCTCCTAAAGGGTAGAGACAGTACAGTACCTTATTTATCCTTATATACAATACTTAACAACTATCAAAATATCTGGCATGTAGGTACCAATATACTGAATTGGGATATATTTTGCAAATTTAAGTCTTTCTTCAATCTATATAGCTTTCTAAAGACTTCAACTCACCTTGTTCTCTCTGACTAAAATTTTAGGACATCCCCAACCCATTTCCATCTCTTTCATTGAGTTTACAGAAAATTTTATAATCATTCATTATTTTAAGTGCTCTTTAGTCTTGTAAACTGGGCACCAATTTTACAATATACATACATTAATTTCTCCTGTGAGGCTTTCTATAGATCATCTTCCTACTTTTTTTTCTTAATATATCTTATTGATTTTTAACAGAGAGGAAGAGAGAGAGATAGTTAGAAACATCGATGAAAGAGAATCATTGATCAGCTACCTCTTGCACACCCCCTACTGGGGATGTGCCCCAACCCAGGTACATGCCCTTGACGGGAATTGAATCTGGGACCCTTCAGTCCGCAGGCCTATGCTCTATCCACTGAGCCAAACCGGTTTTTGCTCTTCCTACTTTTTGTCATTCCAAATAATATGCCAATCTCCTTTCTGTTCCAATAGGTTGTAGCACATGTAAAAGAATTTCCTATTTCACATTTTCAAATGTTTCTAAGGACTATCTTTACCTTCATACTTTGGCTAACTCATTAAAAATATAATCTCAGCCCTGGCTAGGTAGCTCAGTTGGTTAGAGTGTCCTCTTTTCTCTTTCTTTCTTTCTTTCTTTTTTTCTTTCTTTCTTTCTTTCTTTCTTTCTTTCTTTCTTTCTTTCTTTCTTTCTTTCTTTCTTTTTAAATATATTTCTTTATTGACTTCAGAGAAGAAGGAGAAGAAAAGAGAGATAGAAACATCAATGATGAGAGAGAATCACTGATGAGTGAGAATCACTGATCAGCTGCTTCCTGCATGCCCCCTACTGGGAATCGAGTCTGTAACCCAGCCATATGCCCTTGGCTGGAATTGAACCTGGGACCCTTCAGTCCACAGACTGATCCTTTTTCCACTGAACCAAGCTGGTTAGGGCAGAGTGTCCTCTTGATAAGCCAAGGTTTCAGTTTCTGTCAGGGCACATACAAGAATCAACCAATGAACAAATAAATAAGTAGGAAAAAAATTGATGTCTGTCTCTCAAATCAATCAATTAAAAAAAAAATCTCAACTTCTGTTTAACCATTTTTGTCTAAAAAGTATCACATAAGGACCTAACGTGAAAAAATATTTGGAATACTCTTTTCCATTTTCTTTTCTTTCAGAAACAAAATATATAAACTATTGTTCAATAACATTCAGTACCATTCCTTCCTTCTGGAAAAAATAAGTATTCATGCAAAATGTATGTGTGTGTGTACATATGTTGAGACATAGACATGGCTGCATGATCGTGGCTATTTTCTTCTCCAAGAGATTAGTAGATCTTTAGTTCTAAAACCTGCCCTAATTCACCAATAATATTTAAGCATAGCATTTGGCCCAAACCATACTTTAAATCAGGGGTGGGGAATGTCCAGCCCACAGGCTGTATAAAGCCTGTGAAATGATTTGGTCTGGCCCTACCAAGGCATTAGGGGGCAGTTAATTAATAAATGTTTAAATGTTTGACCAAATATACCAGGCTAATTTTTAAATTGATAATTTTGTATGGCTCTCAGATATCATAAATATCAAAATGGTCTTAGAAGAAGAAAAAAGAAGGTTCCCACCACTGATTTAAACAATGGAGAGAGTAAGTAGCATTCACATGTGAACTGTAAGGTAAATATTAATATTGTATAAGGAAATATAAAAGGATCAAAGAACCGTCTATGAAGCACTAGTCCTTTAAGCAGCCAGATTTTCCCTAATCCTATATAATAAAAGCCTTATATGCAAATTGTCCCCTCAGGAGGTTATTCAACTGGGAGTTTGCTCACTTGATGTGCACTAACTACCAGAGGCAGCACGGAACATGGTGGATGTTGGTGACGAAGATCTGGCAGCGGGCGGCAGTGGAGGTGCTGCCAGCCCTGATGGACCCCAGTGAGAGTGGAACCACAGTGGGATGGTGGAGCAGGTGAGTGGGTGACGCCAGGTCAAGGTGGGTGTGAGTGGGAACCTGATTGCCCACAGACAGCAACCAGCAGCTGTGGCAGGGGGTGGGGCCACTGTCCAACACCTAGGTGGTGAGGGAGCTGGGTGGGGGCAGCCCCGGCCCTGACCAATCGCCCCGCAGATGGTGACCAACAGTAGTAGCAGGGGGCCCAGCCCCAATCAATCACCCACATGTGGGATGGTGGAACAGTTGAGGGGGTGGCACCAGGCCAAGGAGGGGTGCAAGGTGGGGCTGCAGGGCTGTGAGGCTGGGGGCATGAGCTGGGACTGAGAGGTTGGGGACACAAGCTGGGGCTTGATCTCTGCAGGCCACCCGGAGGGACTCCATCGATACACAAATTCATGCACCAGATCTCTAGTCTATATATATAAAAGCCTAAGTGACCATTATGACCAGTTGAACAAATGGCCAGTTGCTATGTCATGTATTGACCACCAGGGGGCAAATGTTCAACACTGGAGCTGCCCTTGGTGGTCAGTGTGCTCCCTCGGCTGGCCAATCTCCAGCGGTCCCTTTCCCCAGCCCACCAGCCCGAGTGCTGACCAGGCCAAGGGATCCCATCTGTGCACAAATTTGTGCACCAGGCCTCTTGTTAAGAAATAAAAGCCCTGGCCTGTTGGTTCAATTGGTTGGAGCATTGTACCTATACACCAAAAAGTTGGGGCTTTGATTCTAGGAAACATACCCAGGTTTCAGGTTTGATCCCAGGTTGGCATATGTACAGGAGACAATCAACCAATGTTTCTCTCTCACATTGATGTTTCTCTTTCCCTTCCTTTCTCTAAAATCCAATAAACATATCCTCAGGTGAGGATAAAATATAAATAAATAAAATATTGAGACGAACATATGTAAGTTTATATCCTTAAGAGAAAGGAATAAGCAAAACCATAAATTTTAGCATAGTAATACTAAGCACAAAGCATTTAAATAATGCTTCCATTTTTAATTTTCTTTACCTCTATTCCTAGCGAGGCTTCTCTTTTATAAATCATCATTAATATTTCTACTTGGTATGTTTTTGTTTTACAGAGAGTATAAGCAAGTAGTTATTTTCTCTTATTAGTTTTTAAAAATGAAAGAAGACTTATTTTGCAAACAAGTTCACAAAATTTGTTGCTCTTCTGGAAAAAAGGATATTCTCCCATGTCTGTCTATTATTGCCACTGGCATTCTAATAACTTCTTAAAACAAGAGTCATTTTTATGTCCTGTCATAAGCAATATATCATTGACTTTCAGTGCAACAAAGGGTAATAGAATAATAAAAAAAACAACATATGGAAAGCTTAGAACATCAATAGAGAAAAAAGACTCTTTTTCACTCACCTGGGGCCTATTTCCAAACACTGAAGCCCAACACATAAAACTAGAATTATAAAGAACAATGAATTTTTCTACCCAAAGACAAAAACCAGAGGGAAAGAACATAAATAAAAATTGATACACAGAATGTTATTCCTCTTCAGAAAAAAAAAGATACAAACTGGCAAAAATACAGTTCTGATAATCTACAAATCAATAGGCAGCCTATTTGTAAAGCACTTCTTATCCAGCACCGATTTCCTGTCTAATTAATCTTCTAAAACCTAAAAAAAAAAAAAAAAAAAAAAATTCCCACACATAAGATAATATTCAGTCAGTTCAGATAATTAGACATTTTTCATTTTCATTTAAAAAGACTTGAGCATATGACTCACAGCATGTTTCCCCATGCCCAGTCAGGCTAATTCAGAAGACTTTCAATGTCCACATCCACAGTCTAGCAATTCTAAGACTGTATGAGGATGATGCTCAAATGTACAATGTTAAGATGCTCTAAATTACTGACATTCTGGGTAAGCTTCACTCTTTCCCTGAGAAAATACAGTCAGATGCACAAAGCTAAGAAGGCTAATCTGGGAAAAAAAAAAAAAAAAAGCTTCCTGGGAAAAATAATTAGTACCCACCTAATGGCCACTGAGGTAATGCATCCTCATAAAATGATGTGAATTATACTTCCTAAAATCGGAAACATTCAGCTTTTTGTGTTCTTGATTAAAGGAAAGGAACAAAAAGGTACAGATATCATTTGTTTCAAAACAAGCAACAAATTTAATGCCCAGGAGAACAAGATAGAAAACAAGGAGGTTAACAATTATAACAATGTCCTTAAGATGGTGTTAATAAGCTAATTCCTTATAGGAAACAAATAGCAAACAGTATTTCCAGAAATGAATGAAGAAGCCCAATAACTGAAATTCTAAGAAAGCAGTTTATAGAAATCTACAACTAAGTGCAGGCTTGAGAAGATAAGGAGATTCCTAGGAATGCTTTCCTTGTTAATCCTTTAAAGATATTCTTAAATTCAAATTTAGTGACTGAAATTAATATTTCACAGAAATTCTCTGATAACTATTAAGCAAAATCTCAAAAACACATTCAACTCTTATAAAGCCTTAATTATTTGTCACCTATCAGTATCACCTTCATAGATTAATAAAGACAGTTTTCCTGGGGCTGCTAATCGTTTACATTCATTGCCTGTGGTAGCTGCATGAACACAAGTGGCCTTGAAGAAACATACTTGTGTTTCACATAACAAAAGAAGAATTCGGTACTTCCTGCCCCTTTGTAGGGTGGCTGCCTGCGGGAGGATGGTGTCTCTTTCTGGGAGGGCAGGGGAGCAGCTATGAGGATGAGGACACACTGCTGTGTGGGCAGCTGACTGCAGTCACAATGGACAGTGAAGGCGTAAAGGCAGCTCGGGAGGGGTTGCACTTCAGGCTGAGGCAGAGGTTCTGGAGAGGACACGCAGCAGTCTTCCTGAAGGACAGATGAGCAGCAACATGATGCCATGGCAGTGCAGCGCCCCGAGCAGCCTCATGCTGTACATGTCCCATGGCTCCATGGACAAGCTGCAGCAGCAGCTGTGCAAGGGTGAGTTCGCCATGTTCACAAGCATTCCCCTGTTTGAGAGCAACTTCAACCAGATCAGTAAAAGAGAAGTGATTGATGTGCTCAACTGTGTGCAAATGGTCACTGTGGGCATCGTGCACACCAGCCCCAACCTCAAAATACCTGACGTTTTGCTGCTGGCAGTGATGCAGTCGGTGCCAAATATGACCGACACACCCAGGGAAGGGGACTCAAGTCAGTGACGAGCTTGGAGCTGACCAGGCTGCTTCCTTTGAAGATTATAATGTCCATCTACAGTCATGAGAAAAAAAAAGCTCCACTTGAAGCTCGCCACTGGCCACTCTTTTTAGCTACAATTATGCCCCCTTCAGATGCAATAGAAGATGTGTTTGCACACTGGGAAGACCTGATGTTCTTCCTGAGACTGCCAGTGGAGGCTTATAGTGGCACCCATGCCATACCAGCTTGGGATAGGATGGAAATACCTGTGCTGGAGGCAGAGGACAGGAAGAGCCCAGCAGTAAGGTTTTGCATACTCAGAGAGCAACTGAAGGCTCTCGGGCTGCTCTCCTGGGCTGCCCGGATAAACACTCATGTGGAAGGGCTCAAACCAGATGAGCTACTATGTGGAGGCCTTGTCACATTGAGGAGGCCCTATGTGCTTCTGAATATCCGAGGTTCCTTAGATGTCAGCTCCTCTAACCATATACCTGATGCTGTTATGCTGTCAACAGCATCCTAGCATCCTATTTGTTCTGGAACACTTACAAACTACAGTGGACTCAGGCAGTCTGATCTGCTGTAGGGCATTTTTAACTTTGAGAAAACCCTTTCTTTATTTGAGCCATAAACTAATTTTTGTATAATCCGTGGCACTACAGCATGCTTTGCCCACTGGTGCACAATTTGTTAGTAGCTATCAGAATGTAAGATGGACATAATTTCTGCCCAGCAGTCTTCCTTTAGGAATCTGTTTTGTAGAAATGCTAAGACAAGTGTATAAGGTAAAAGTGTGAAGATGTTCACTGGTGAATTGCACTAGTGCTCTTCCTGGCACTGCAACTGTCCAGGCAAAACCTCTGTGTCCCTTGGGGGGTGACATAGGGGCATTTCTGGACTTGGTGACTATTCTAATGCTAAGTTCTTGAAGACAGGTGACAGCCCTTTTTAGTTTCATTTACTTTCTTCTTCCCTGTTTCTTCTATCGACTCAGGCCATAGAGCTACATGGAGATGGTGGCCAAGACCTGCTCAATGTCAGAAGTCTTTCCATAGTCACTGAGGTATCTGAGGCCACCTCTTTTTTTTTTTTTTTTTTTTTTTTTTTTTTTTTTATGCTGATGGGGAAGGAGTCCAACAACCTGCTTCATGCAAATACTCTATGCGTAGGGACACACTGTCTTTCCAATCCCGGCACCGGCAGGGCCTGGCCAGGAAGCATTACTAAGAGCAGCAGCAGTAACACCCACAGGCAATGTGAGTATGGTTGCATAAGAAGAGATGATCAACAGGCCTGTTACAGAGACCTTGGAAGGTCCAGGAGCTGAACCCTTCATCTCAGCCTGGCAGAGTAAAGGAAATATGAGTGAACAGTGTAGGCCAGAGAATCTCGTAACACTAGGCTGAAGCCCTGAGGAAGAGAAAAGAAAAGGAGAACACACCCACCAAAAGGCCCTCTCATTCTGGTGGGAAGTGGGAGGACAAGTCAATCCTAAGATTCCACAAACCACTCAGGGAGGTCAAAAGGAGAAGGACCAGAGCAGCCCAGGAGCCCCAGGACATGGCTCCTCCCACCAGGAATACAACAGCCTCAGCATCCCTCCAAAAGGGTCTAGATCTCAAAAATCAAGATGGAGTTGATTTAGAGCTATTTGCGGGAGGGGGATAATCCAGAGATCTCTGTTCCCTTGTCCCTACCCCATTCTGCAGCTCTCCCAGGTCTAGGAGAGAACAATCTAGCCATTCATGGAACTTATGCATACAGACCAGAATGGATCTCCAATGTTATGATCCAACTACCCATTTTAAAATGGGGAAACTTAACTTTTCTGAAGTGGGTCAATTCTTCCATTTTTTGAAACAAACAAATGCCTGCTATATTTTTTTAAAAAATAAAGAATTTATAAATTGGTCTGATATGGCAATGGCTAGTTTGACTCTGGATAGAGTGTTGGTGTGTGGCACCCTTTGCATCTACAAATCATGAGGGCTTGTGTGAGGCTGAAAAACAGGTTTATCCAGCGTGAGGATAAACACTAGCATTAGGTTATTTGGCTCCACTCCAAGCTTACCCATTCAAAGGCTGTCTGACCTCAAAAGTGATATTTAACTTCTCTGAACTTTAGAGATAATAATCTCTAACCAACAAGGTACTGTAAAGATTCAATTAGTCTCAAGTTCAAGTCAAGTAACCATAATGCACCGTTCCCAAGATCCTTGAGAGCCACCAGGAAGACAACTTGAGAACAGATTCTGGAACCAGATGAGTTGGTCGCTTCAGAGCCCCTCTGGGGCATTATGGAATGTCAACCAAAGATCACTGGCGCCAACAGGAGTCACCCAAGTTGGGGTGCAGTGAAGAAGGAAAGTTTAGTACAAAGAGCTTGAGGACAATACAGTATGGCTGTGAAAACAGCACTTTTGTGGAACAGCTGGATAACACTATGTTGCTGCTGTGAAAATAGCAAGGCCCTCAGGGCCCAGGCACCTCTTCAGCTAGCCAGCTCCACTCTATTTCATCCACTCCATTTGGCCCCCTCCCAATCTAGGCCCCTCTATTTTTTTTAACTGAATTTATTGGGGATGACTTGGTTTTTAAAATTACATAGGTTTCAGGGGCACAATTCTATAATATATCATCTGTGTAGTGAGTGTATTGTGTGCTTACATCCCAAGTCACATCTCCTTCCATCAACATTTATCCTCCTTTTACCCTCTCCTACCTCCCCCATCCCGCTTTCCTTCTGGTAATACTGTTGTTTGTCTATGAGATTTGGGGGTTGTTGTTTTGTGTTTTTTTGCTTAACCCTTTCATCTTTTCTATCTACTCCCTTTCCACCTCTCCCTTGACAGCTGTCAGTCTTCTCTGAACTATGAGTCTGTTTCTATTTTATGTTTATTTTGTTCATTAGATTCCACATATAGTGAAATCATATAGTATTTGTCTTTGACTGCTTATTTCATTCAGCATAATACTCTCCAGGTCCATCTAAGCTGTTGCAAAGGGGAAAATTTCCTTTTTTTTTTTTTCCGCCCCCACAGTGAGTACTATTCATTCCATTCAGCTAGGAAACTCCACTCCTCTGCCCAGCTCAGTGCTACTCTATGCTAATCTGTTCCACTCTGCTCTGGTGAGATGTCTTTGGTCTTTCAGCTCCAGCTGGGGAAAAGTAGCCTTCAGTTTTTGTTCTTCGTGGAAAGTATATGTATTCTATTGATACATGCAGATGGTTCATTTGTTTCTGTCTGCATTCAAATTTTATCCTTGATGTAATTTTGTGTTTTTAAATTTGTAAAACATTAACATACTTCTCGAGTTAAAATTATAACCACGCCGAAACTGGTTTGGCTCAGTGGTAGAGCGTAGGTCTGCGGACTGAAAGGTCCCAAGTTTGATTCCGGCCAAGGGCATGTACATTGGTCGCGGGTGCATCCCCGGTAGGGGGTGTGCCAGAGGCAGCTGGTCGATGTTTCTCTCTCATCGACGTTTCTAGCTCTCTATCTCTCTCCCTTCCTCTCTGTAAAAAAATCAATAAAATATTAAATAAATAAATAAATAAAATTTTCATTAAAAAAATTATATTGTATATTCTAAAACAAAATGCAATGAATAAACTAAAGTTGCTAGTTTATAGGGGAAAATGACTCCTGCTCTCAGGTATACACTAATAAGTTACTATGCTTCACAAATAAAGTTGGATAAATCAATTTATTACCCAATTAGTTAATTTTATTATGATAATATGATGATAAATCATGCCAGTATTTTAATGAGTTAAATTTTAAGAACAATCTTTAAGCTAAGAAATTAGTGAGACATTATATTGGATTGGGTTTAAGCTCCAAGTTTTTGGGTCAGTCCAATTTTTTAAATATGAGTTATACTACATCCTTCTCAATGAATGATTAGGTAAAAAAAAGTTCTGATCTATATCTATAAGAACTCTGGTTCTGGTTCAAATCCCAATAATTTCTCTTAATGACTGTGTGAACTTGTAAAAGTAACTTAATATCTGCAGCTGCAAAAAATGGTACAATGACAATATCTTTCTCCTAGTGTTGTTGTAAGGATTCAATACCCTTAGAACAGTGCTTGGCTCACTGAAGCACTCAGGAGCTGTCAGTTATTATTATTTTTATTTTATTATTTTATATTTTACATAAAGCTGACTTCTAAAAGAAGTGTTAGCTTGCTATAAGTATTATCTAAAAAGCAATTCAATAAAAACTACTAAACAGCCCAGCCAGTATGGCTCCGTGGTTGAGTGTCTACTTATAAACCAGGAAGTCACAGTTCGATTCCCAGTCAGGGCAAATGCGGGCTTGATCCTCAGTATGGCATGCACTGTGCAGGAGGCAGCCAATCAATGATTCTCTCTTATCATTGACTAGAAGCCTAGTGCATGAAATTTGTGCATGGGAGAGAGCCCTCAGTCCAGCCTGCACCTTCTCGCAATCCGGGCCTACTGGCTCCTAATGGCTCGCCTGCCTGCTTGCCTGATTGCCCCTAACCACTCTGCCTGCCTGCCTGATCACCCCTAACCACTCTGCCTGCCTACCTGATCACTCCTAACTACCGCTGCCTCAGTCCCTGCCACCACAGCTTCGTACGGAACTATGTTTGGAGGGTTGCTCGGCTGTCCGGTCTAATTAGCATATTACGCTTTTATTATTATAGATGTTTCTATCTATCTCTCTCTCACTCCCTTCCCCTCTGAAATCAATAAAAAACAAATACAAACACACACACCAAAAAAAACAGTTACTAAACAAATTAAATAGGTGCTAATTTAATGTGACTTAGTCCTATATAGTCTTTTTTTAAAAAGTACTAATTTTTTATTCCATTTCTAAATTATTTTCCTATTTTTAAGGTTTCAAAAAGTGTTTCAATAACTTTTGATAATAAAAACCTTAGATTTTTCTATTCATGCCCAAAATTATAGACTGATCAAACCATTAATAAAATTTTAACAGTTAGGGGATTAACATTTGCAATCTATCTTTAAAATTAGTATTCACACTATTTTATTGCAATGACAAGGTTTAACTTTCATGCCTAGCACTAAATGGAATTTTTAAAAGGGAATTCATGTTAATATAGTAATAATTTTCCCCTGTTAAAACTTAGATGAATAGATGTACAGCTTTTCTTAAAAACTAAGGTATTACCTCTTATGATTTTTTTTTTTCCCCTAGGAAGGATGTTGTACTTTTAGGCTTCCTAATAACTGATAAACAATAATTTCTAACGTTAAAATTTAGAATATGAGAAATCTGTGTGTAATCACGTAGGCTAATAGTAAAAATACACTATACGTGATATGAAATATGCTACACTGTAGTATAGCTAATGTGCAAAATAATGCATTCATGACTAAAGAAAAGAGTAAAAAATAGGCCCTGGTTAGAAATTTGGAAGTCTGATGTGACAGCTGCAGGAAGTTTGATCCATTCAGAATTGAAATGTTCTCAATCAAAAGAGATACCCAAGAAATCTAGTGATAAAAGGCTCAGTACATAACTCACCCATCATACCAATTAAAAAATATTTTTAGGGAAAAAGGAAGGTGGCTGCCAATGAGAAGGCAAGCTGCAAGATTGTGTGTGAGTGAGAGAATGAAAGGAGAGTGTGTG